CAAACGGATGGCACTGAATGCAGTTCACAACTAGAAACAAAAGATGATTTGTTTTTAAGTCAGCTAATGAAAGTCGGGAGAGAATGAAAAAAATTATGTGATGGAAAAATTGCAAAAAGAAAAACCTGCTTCATCACCAACAAGCACTTTCATAAGTCTCCCCGTCTGTTTCTCCCATATAAACCACCTACCATCATCGCTTCCAGTCGCAATATATTCACCTGTAATCAAATTTTCACAGAAAGTCAATAATGGCGTATTGACTTGACGTTTCTAAATTTTGTAGGGTTTTTCCTACCAAACTGGAATTGCATTCAGATAACATAAAATGCAACCGAAAAAAAAATACTACCTCTCCGACCGAGAAAGCTCGCTTGCTTGATATCAGTTCCAACGTTACAGTGCCCCACATATCTACGCTTCATATCAATGGCTCCCTCTGGCTGTAATCACCAAGAAACCAATTGTGTAGATTTATTTGTCAAAGGTAGAGTTTGAAGCACAACATAAAAGAAGCCAGAGACTACTGAATTGAAACCCATTCAATATGCTAAATTTGTTTCTATTTTGAAATACAATATCACAGTCTGGAAACTAACCTGATAAGAGGTTCTACCATTTTGAGAAGACGATGCAGTTCCTGAGGAGGCATTATCACCAGTATTTTCCAAAGGCTTATCATCAGCTACTCTATGAATTCTTAGATTTAGACTGCCACGCATAGCATTCGAGTCTGGATCTCGTCCATCATCCGACATGGAAGGATGAATGTCAACCTCCAATTCCTCATCATAATCAGATTCTTCTCTTTCGGATCTCGACATATCATTAGAACTGTCACTGTTGGCCTCTGATCTATATAGTATGTCGCTCAACGAAAGTACTCTAGCAGTTCCACCTTCTGGCTCTTCATCTTTTTCAGCTCCAGCTGATTTGTCAATCCAAAGACAAGTACACGAATATTAAAATGTGAAAAAGATATTTCCTCGCTGGTGGAATCATGAAAGCTTTTAAACACATAAAGACTCCTTGGGAATGAAAGAACTCCCCAAATCTAAAAGAAGAGCTCTAGTTGTATTTGAATAAAGAAGGAACAAAAATTTAGGCACATCATACAGTAATATATTCGCTGAACAAACAATCAGAGGAAGAAAGACAAGCCTGTCACGCTTCAAGGTAAGTGCCAAATGGACTTAAAGATGAATCTACGATTTTCTCTCATGTTCACGATATATTCTCCTCACTGATTACTAGTAACGAATGGTTATAGTTCATCGAAAAGCAAAAACAAAATAACTAAGCAGAAACATTTTGAAACTCTATCCTAGCTCAAAGAGGAAGACAGAAACAGCAGGGAACAAAACAACTAAGCAGTTCATCTACAAGAAAGTAAAAACAGTCAGTGGTCACAAACCTGCTTGAAGATCCCTTTTAATGCTCTCCACCTTTGCCACTATATCGGCATCTGATGGCTTCAACTGTTGTGCAGCAGTCGCAAAATCTAGAGCTTCTTTACATTTTCCTAACTGTGGGAAAGAACAAATGTAAAACAAAATGGAAGAGTAACTAGAATAAATGTTTATTGTAGGACCATCTCTATGTCAAATTATCAACTAAAATTGAACTCTGATCAGAGCAACGAATTTACTTGCTGCAACGCTTCGGACATGTAGTAATGAGCTTTAAAAGATGAAGCATCAATTCTCCTAGCATATTGGCAATCTCTTACGGCCATCTGAGCATCATTCTTCCATTTCCTCTGGAAAATAAAGGATTCAGCTGACCAAGGTTATCAAAAGGGACTAAAGTAGGGATTCAAGGTAGTTCAAGAAATCAGTTCTAAAATACCTTGAGTAACAATGCAGCACGAGTACAAAGGCATTCATGCCTTAGCGCAGACTCAATATCATTCGAATGCGCATCCAGAACTTCATTAGCTGCCTCAATTGCATAGAAAACATCCGTACCATCTTCTAAAGACCTTTTAGCCATTTCTACCAATTCGGCGCACTTCTTTAACTGAAAGAATGGAGACAGATACACTAAGTAAATGGGATGACAAGGTCACTTAATAGAATAGTTACAAAAGGAGGTGCAGACCGTTGCAGCGTTGCCATTTCTGCGGAAGCCATTTTGAGAACTGGTGGAAACCCGAGGTGGAGATTCTACATCGTGGAGAATGTTACTGAAAGTAAACAAGTTAGCTACATCTCCTGGTGTGTATTGCATGGTTCCAACACCTACAAGTGGCAAACAAAGGAAACAATCAACAGATATTGAACTCAAAGCAAAGCAGCAAAATGTTTTAAGAAACTAGACTTTCGAAGCAAAGAGCAGCTTTCAACAAGATAACTAGCACAAACATATATTTCTAAACAAGGTGGTGCAGTATAGATTGTCAGCTCGAAGAGAGAAACGTATTTGACAAAAAGTAAGCAAACATCTGGTGGAACAACACATACTTCATTCTTAATCTATTTTTTCACATAATAGCAAGCCATTTGAATCCTCAACAAAAATCAAAAACTATCCAAATGATCCATGGAGAATTTTCAGGCAGGCAGGAAAAAGAAAAGGTTCTCAGCAGAGCTGAAAAGGGCAGGAGAAATGAAAGTAAAGCGATATAAATCAAAACTTCATTCCAATACAAAATTGTACTTCTCTGATTAACTATTCACGGAATTTAAGCTGAAATCAGCAAGCATTTTAACTATAAATACCATTATTTACATTCATCAGGTACACATGCTCCCCGCTGTAACTGAGCAAAACTTCTTCGCCATTAGGACTGAAAGTAACATGAGTTAGGTGCAAATTTGTTCGCCCCTGTAATATTTTAAAGATGTAGCCGACAATGAGTTCGGATTTAAACTTTGAGCAAGAACACAACAGTATCAAAGCAATGCAAACGTAGTAGAGTATCTAAATATCAATCAAATTAAACTAACACGTTCAGATAGATGCATTGGACAGAAATAATTGACACATGGAGGTGGAGGCATCCTTTTCCGAGATGATGTCAATAGTGGGAGCATCCTTCTATCGTACAAACGAGCAAATGCATCACTGTCAAAGAGGAAAGAAAAGAACAAGAAGCTGTTTAATAAAAAAAGGAGATAAACTCTGATTCACAAACATGGAGGCAAATACCTTCCACCAACGAGCAGTAGGTGTGGTCTTGTGGAACTTATCTCACAAGACTTCAGGGAGAGAGTTTGCTTAGGAGGATCAGCTAGTGCTCGCTTGGCACCACTTCGCAGGTCAAGCTGCAAAATTCAGAGCTATCAACAAGGCTTCAATTTGCAGAAGAAAAGACCATATATACTATACGGCTACAAAGTATCGAACGTAATTGAAAACAATGTAACCAGAGTGTGGAGGTTACAAGAACACTGCGGCAATCTTGGTGAGAAGATCCAGCAGGAGGACAAGAGGTAGATTCCCGGAAATCATGCTGCCGTAGAGTCCCATCTTCACTAGCACTCCATACAACATTGGGGTTACCAGGTTCGACCTACATGATGGTAAAAGAATATGATAAACAAACAGCTCAACATGGAAGATTCAAATACCGATTGAAAAAGTCTTACAGCTAGTTTTTTCACTCTTCGCGTGTGACATTGGTACAATGCCGATGGTGCAACAGGATTGTCCTCATCTACTCTACTGCTTAACCCGGCTAGATTGAATAGCCTAACCTATAATATATGACAAACACACGCACACACCCGAAAAGGATATTATATGAATACCCGAACTCAAAACCAAATGAAAGCACAACCCAAAAGGAGTAATTTTTATATACTTCAGCATCTCCAGCACCAGATACCACAAGCTCGTCAGAGGTTTCAGGGACAAACTTGGTACAGAAGATGTTCGCAGTATGCCCTGTATCTACAGAATGCAAAAGCTTTCGGCTGGCGTAATTCCAAATATTAACCTGCAAATTGAGAGAAGAATTAAATTACAAGACGAGTCAACTCTACATCACCTGTCCATAGATATTAGATGCTCATATGGATTTCTTTTACATATCATTCACTCTGAGAAATTTTTCAATTTATCCGAATCACACAAGGAAAAAAAAAAGCAAAATTTAAGATATGCAAGCACAAAAGGAAGATTACAGAGTGTTTAGCTGGTATCTAAATGGATTACATATTACCCGTAAGTCATCTGATCCAGATATCAACAGTGAACCATTAGAGTTCCAAGACAGAGCATTGACACAGCCTTGATGTCCCTGCCACACACACACAGCAATTATACATCAACAAGCATGAATACACATAGTCAAGGGTACATTAACTGCAGAAAAATCCATTCTTCATCATACCCGGTTTCAATTAAGATAAATAAGTGCTATAGACAATAAAGATACATATAATTCAAAATGAAACGATACCTCCATTTCATGTTCCTGAGAAAGCCTCCGAACCAAGGAAGAGTGTAATTGCATTTTCTGATCAACGTCCTACACAGACAACACACGCCATTAGTTTGCCACATATGGTAAACTTTCTTGCTGAAGCAAGATATTGAAAAATTCAACTATTATGCCAAAACTTCCATGAATCAAACTTCGCGCACTGTAACAATGAGAAAGACAGGGAGGAAAATCCGAATTGGAGGCAGAGGAAAAGTAAAAAAGAGAAGAAAGATGAGTAACGCACATGACTTGGCTCCTTGGACCTTGTGTGGAGGAGATTGAAGATGTTACCATCACAAAAGCTGAGATTCTCCATGGAGAAAGCGATCGCCACCGATCAGACGGAGAAAGATACAAACAAACTGGAGGAGAGAAAAAAAAAATGAAAAATAAGAGAAAATGCCCTTTGCTCTTCGCAATCTGACGCATTTTTCCGTACCCGGTTGGGTTCTACATTCTACGGCGAGATCCTCTGCGGGAGTGTGTTGGGAATCCATGTACTCTAAACACATCTCAGCCGTTCGCTTTCGATTTATTAAAACCGATTTATTTATGGGGAAAACAAATTTACATGGCGGTGAGTTGACTATTGACTGGTGAGCGACCATTTGCTGATCGGCAACAAAATTATTTACTTTCCTTAAAACTTGTTTTGCTACAGTGTAGATATGTTGTAATACTGGGATTCTTCATTTAAAAAAAATTAGGTACCCAAGATACGAAAATATTCCAAAAAAGAAAAAACAGCCCAAGGTTATTTTTGTATTACTCCGAAAGTAGTAATTTAAAAATCATTAGAAAAAAAGAGAAAAATCAGGGTATTTTGCTTGTTCTCACAAAAGTCGACCATTTTCTAGTGGTACATACAAGGAGGTTCTAGATTCTTCGGCAAGATCCTTTGCATGCATGTGTTGGCTATCATGTGTTCTAAACACATCAGAACCATTCATTTTTGCGATTTAATTACATGAAATACAAAAATCAAATACTGGATTATATCATTTATATAAATATGATCTATTTTCTTAGAAATTCATTCATCTTCCATCTAAGTCATCCGGTTCGGTATCATATTGCGATTCGCACCCGAGTAAGACAGTGAATAAACACAATTTTAGTCTATACCAATTAATGAAAAACCCACATCGCAAAACCACATCACTCTGTTGATCTTACTCTGTTTTTGTGTTTCGCAGGAAGTGCTTCACCTTTTGGAAAACAGGAAAGATAATAGAGTGACTTGGCACAAAGGCCTGAGTATCGCTGTATCTGTAACTAACTCAACTTTCTAAACTCTTTATCATTGCAGCAGAAGAAAAAGAAAAACAAAACGAATGTCTCTGTTTGATTCTTATCTTGTTATTGTGATATGGTGATTTGCAGGTTTTAGATGAGATATTCATGACTCAAATGCGAAGCTATCTAGGGGATTCGCTTAAAGAAGAGGATTTTGAGGCACCGGGCTCGATGATGGAGCTTCAGTCTATTCAATCTACAGTATTTTCTTTTTGGAGTTTTTGAATTGTTTTTATTATGATTGGATATCAGATGAAGAACACTTTGCCAAGTTGTTGAATACTTTTGTGTATTATGATTCAATCACTTGTATAGGAAGATCTGATTATTTCAATTTGGATTCGTTTTTTGTTTGTTGGATTTACTGTTGGAAGCCGATGAAGATTAGATTGAATGGTTGCACAAATTTTAGTGTTGAAAAGCATCTAACTTGACTAGGACGGTCTAAGTCCTATTTTCTTAAGGCAACTTTAATTTATATGAATGTTTTGGCATAAAGTGTTGACAATATTTTATATGGTCAGATAAGATTTGGTAATGAATAATACTTTGTCCACATATGTCCGAAGTGAAATATCAATATGCTTGATAATTTTTCATTGAAACGAAACAGATACAAATTCAAAAGACTTTCTTCTTCCTCACTTATTCTTCTTCTTTTTCATCACTGGCCTCCATCTTTGAATCCAAAGGTAAGTCCTCCCAGTTAATCTTTTCTTTTCTCTGCTTGTTGATTGTCTCGCAGACCATCTTCTTCTCTTTTGGCACCGGATAAAACTTTAGCTTGACGTACTCAAAAATTCAAATGCCTATTTTTCAGTAAAGATTTTCCTTGTTATTGATAAGTAAGATTGATTAACATATTGTGCAATCCTTGTTCAAAAATAGCTTATCGTATAGCAACAAAAACTTGAGTTTAATCAAAACTTAGTTTTTTTTACTTTTTAATGTTTGTTGATATCATTTGAAATATTATTGTTGCATAGAATATACATGATGATTTCTCTTTAAATTTTTTAAAGTGTTGGAGCAGAGTGAGAGGCTTAAATGGTGGGCAATATATCATGAATGCAATATATCTCTCTTCTCAATTACATGTTAGAATTTTATATCCTCACATAAACCAATATGGGCTTTTAAAGTGTAGTTCATAGATGGTGTTATCAGACCGTGATCTAAGGTGTGGTGTTATGATGTGTATTGGACATTCAAACAATTCTACACACATATTTAATCTTAAGAGACTGATTTAAACTCACAATTTTATTAGAAAAACATAAAAGGTTAATTTATTTCATGTTTTGAACTTCTTAGCAGATTCAATTTTTTTGTAAAATTGATAATCATTGTAATTCATAATTCAATGTTTTATATAGACCACAAAATGATTCCATTCTATTTCTTTGTATGTCATTTCATTTTGGTTTATTTTTATTTTTATGGAAGCTATAAATTATATTATCAATTTCAAAAATAAGTTTTGAATTTATTTGTAAAGTTTAAAACTAATTTGGTGGATTAACTTTTAGCATTTCTGATTTAGATTAATATTTCTTGGTTTATTTATGTAAAAGCTGTAGTAAATTTTATAATGTAACATTTATAAAACTGTGAAACTGTGAATCAATACAACAAAAACACAAGTGTCTCTCCTGGTGAAGACACCTCAGCATTTTGGAACTTTCTGAATATGACACTTCAGCAAAAAAATTCACCAGTCAAATTAAAACATTAATACACATCACCCATTTTATTTATCATTCATTTCATTTATAAAAGCCCAAAAGATAAAATATACATACCCATCTATAAACCTAATTAAACCAACACTATAAATTATATAATGAAAACATTTGGAAGCATCAAAAGAAGTGAATATCTTGTAAAAATGTGCTTGTGCCATTGATTTACTGCTTTCATAGATGGTTCCAAACAATTTTTACGAGTGATTATGAAGCGGTTTGAAAAAAAGTGTTAATATATATATATATTTTTATAAACATGATATTTTAGTAAAACAAATCATCAATCAAAACATTGTATTAATACAAGTCATCTATTTATTTTTAATTTTAAATTTCAACCCATTAAAAATCCAAATATTTTTTATTAATAATTTTAGTTTTATTTTTTTGCCAAACTCAAGTCCAAATAATAAATAACGGCAAATAAAAAAAATTGATTTAATTTTTGCCAAACCCAGGCCAAAATAATAAATAATAGTGAAAAAATTGTTTTATCTTTTTTCAAACCCAAACAAGAAATAATAACAAATAGAAAAATTAAAATTTACAGCTACCTGTTTGTTTGAAACAGACATGTATGATTGAAGAAAATGTAGGCATAACATCAACTATGCTTCCATGACAACAAAGCAAAAAGTCGTATGTCATAAGAAGCTCACACATCAGCAAAAATTTGAACTAATAAAAACATAACAATAATACATATCATCAACACAATAATAAAATCAGTATACTATTTTGCTGACCCATTAAAAAGCCCAAAGTTTACAAAAAATGAAGGTCGAAAGCAAAGGAGAAGAAGCTCAAACCACGACAGCTAGGAAATTCGCACTTCTTGTGGTTACCGAGAACAAACCAATAACTTTTCGATTATTCTCCGTCGCTAAGCCTCACATGAGAGCTGTCCATCTCTAATGGTTTCACTTATTCTGCTGATTTATCTCCACTTTTGCAGCTTCGCAGCTCAGGCTTCCTCCCAGTCATTCGTGAAAACCTCAATCTTAGCATCATTGACATCAGAAACGTTGGAATCACATCTGTTTCCGGCTCGGTCTTTGCTCAGTTTCTTGGCTTTTGACGTGAAAGCAAAATTTCATGGTTTGAATAGGTAGACAAAAATTATTGGGATATGAAAATTCTCGATTTTGACGGGAAAAATGAGATTTCCCGATTTTGGCGCGAAAATAAAATTCATCGGTTTTGACAGAAAACAAAATATCTCGGTTATTGATAGGAAATGCGAATTTTTGGTTTTGGTGGGCAATGCAATTTTTCTGTTTTGATAGATAATGCGATTTCTTGGTATTCGTTGGAAAATATAATTTCACGGTTTTTTTTGCAGAAAATGCAATTTGGCGATTTCGGCACGAAAATACAATTTTTCAGTTTTGTTGGAAAAACACGGATAATTCTACTCGATTTTGACGGGAATAGGAGATTTCTCGGTTTTGGCTGGAATAAGATATTTTTTGGTTTCGGCAAGAAAATATAATTTTCAGTTTTAGTGGAAAACGTAATTTCTCAGTAGTGGCGAAAAAATGCAATTTTCGGATTTGTCGGGAAACTGTATTTTTTGATTTTGGAGGGAAAACGGAAAAAATCAATTTTGATGGGAAAACAAAATATCTTGGTTTTGACGGAAAAATGCGATTTCTCGGTCTTGATGGGAAATGCAACTTTTCGATTTTGACGGATAAATACGATTTCTTGGTTTTGATGGGAAATGGAAATTTTTAGTTGACGAATGCGGTTTATTGGTTTTCGTAGAAAAATGCAATTCTTAGTCTTTTCGGGAAAATACAAGTTGACGGTTTTGGCGGAAAATGCAATTCCTCGGTTTGATGGAAAAATAAAATTTCTCGATTTTTGGTGAGAATAAGCAAATTCTCGATTTTGATGGAAAATGCAAATTTTCATTTTTGACGGATAATGGGATTTCTTAGTTTTCGTGGGAAAATGGGATTTCTTAGTTTTTGCCTGAGGACTCAATTTCTCGCGAGGTAATGCAATTTTTGATTTTCGCGGAAAAATCTAATTTCTCAGTTTTGGTGGAAAAACGTGAATTTTGGTTTGACGAGAAAATAAATTTCTTGATTTTGGCGGGAATAGGCGATTTCTCATTTTTCATGAAAAAATAAATTTTTAAGTTTTGACGGGAAAATATTTTTCGGTTATTGCATGAAGATAAAAAATTTTGGTTTTAGTGAAAGAACGTGATTTCTCGGTTTTGGCAAAAAACACAGGTTCTCGCGGGAAAGTGTAATTTTTTTGTTTCTGCGGAAAAATGCAATTTTTCTGTTTTGGTGGGAAAATAAAATTTTTGGTTTGAAGAGAAAATAAAATTTCTTCGTTTTGGCGGGAATAGACAACTTCTCTATTTTCGTGGAAAATAATTTTTTTTTGTTTTAAACGGAAATGAGTTTTTTCAGTTTTTGTAAGAAAATGAAATTTCTTGGTGGTAAAATTCCAAGTTACCATATGTTTACAATAACCAAAATTTAATTATATAACTTCTGCTAAATTGATATTTCAACAGTTCAAACATAATTTTTTTATTTAGTTCAAAAGAAATAACAATGGTTTCGATATGAATGTTATTGATTATAGTTTGGTAGTTTTAGAAACATATATTTATAATATATATTTAATAAATAAATAAATTTTATAATTCAAAAAAAATATTAATTAATAAATTTTTATTTATAATGACATTTTGCTTTATATAATTATAAGAAAGGATCAAATGGCAATTTAGTATAAAAAATATATTATATTTACCACTGGCATGGAGGTACATAAAGATATATTATTTTATTTTTATATATACATATATAGTTAGTTAAACAAATTTGATAGCAAATTATAATTTTCAAAAATAAAAAAGGATATACAATGCGTATTCAGATTTAAAACATATGAATACGTAACTTAAAATAATAGAAATTTATTTATTTATATTATAAAAATTATTTTATTATATTAAAAATATATATAATTTAGAAAAATATCCCGAAGCACTGGTAAATACCTAGTAAACACAATTTTAGTCTATACCAATTAATGACCAGAATAAGTTGGTCTAACGAACAAGCTAAAGTGACAATTCGCCATAACAATTTACAACTAAATTATATCGATCGAAGAATCAAATACTCCAAAACATGCAAGTTGTAGTAGCAAGAGTAAGATATTGACATTGAATAGGTTACAACGTACGAATTTTGCAAGCTCACGCAGAAAGAGCGACACATTCGGTGTAAACGAATATCCAACAGAGAATTAAGTGACGAAATTAAGAAAATGGCAAAAATTAGGGGGCTTAAGGTTTAATGTTATGTATCACACAGTTGGCAATAAAGACGACAAAACTATTTCAAACCAAATTCCAAAAAGCCACAATGTTTTCTGTTTTGGTCATCTGAACAAAATATACTTCCATATATCTTTAGAAAACATTTGTGATATCAAGTCATCAAGACATCAACTATATTATATATACATACAACTTGGGTTTTTCAAAAAAAAAATGTGGACTATATAGAGAGAGAAATGAGATGTTTAATGCAAATTTAAACTATATTAATTAACCTAAGTGGTGGATAGAAATAATACCACCAATTTTTTAGATTCTTAAACGTGGTTCCGCAATATCCTATCCATGAAAAATCAATTTAGGTAAAGAGTTTCCGCTATCCTATCCGATCATTCAACTGTTACACTATATCCACTCATTCGACTAATCTAATATACATCTAATAGTAGCGTACTTAAACGTTCCTCCTAATTTTCCTTTGCTAGACGATATAATCATTTTCGTCACCACAACAATCGGAGATAAACTCATAAACTCATTTGGTATCAGTTGAACCACAAAACTGCTTCTCGCCTTCTACTAACTGTGGCTGCTTAATTATCCCTCTTGAATTGCATACAGCTATAAAAGACCGTAGATCTCAAAATATTAGCAAAACCAAGTCAGAAACTACAATTCCCCATATTCTGAGCTCATCAACTCCACACTTTATTTTTTTTAGCCATTAGAACCATCAATAAACCCCAATCTTATACCATGAATTCAAGTGCAATCTGTATAACTTCGACTAACCTTTTATAGTT